GGAATAAAAGTTTTTAATTCCCTTGCAAGTAAGTTATTACATCTCTGATATTTTTGTTTCATTAGAAAAGTGACCCATATACTACACTTTAGCCAAGCACGTCACTTGCATTTACATCAGTGAGACTACCACTATGGATAGAGGGCAGTGTATAAACCAGGGATGGGCAATAATTTTTAATGGGGGAACCACTCCAAAAATTTGATAAGTGATGAAGGGCCATACTCTTCTCCGATATTAATGGAGGAGATATAGGGTCTGGGAAGGAGGTTGGGTATAGAAAGGAGCTAAAGATAGGGGATTGTGGTACAGGAGTGACATGGGGTCTGGGAGGAATTCTGGGAGGAAGTCTGGGTGAAGGAAGGCATGGTGGGACAGGGGATTGAGGTGGTGGAGGGGATACAGGGTCTGGGCAGGAGTATGGGTGCAGGAGAGGATGCTGATCTGGAGGATGGGTGTAGGTCCTGGGAGAATGTTGTGAGCTTGAGCAGGGATGCTGGAGGGGTGCAGAGTGTTTGGATTGTGATCTAGGATAGGAGGGGGTTGCAGCTGGGGGCAGAAGATTGGGGTGTAGGTATACAGGGTCTGGTTGGGGGTATGAATGCAGGAGTGGAGGGATTACAGAAGATTTGTGACCTGGGGTAGGGAGTGGGGATGTGGGAGGGGTTGTGGTGCCAGGTGCAGGTTCAGGCTGGGAAGCATTTACAATAGATGGTTCCCGGCCAGCTGCTTGAGTCATGTGAATATGTACATAACACGCACCCCGTAGGGACTCTCCATATGCTGTCTGCGCCTCATAGTTCAGGTTTCTAGTCAATGGGAGCTGCAACATTCTACTGGGGACTGGGACACCACATGAAGTGTCCCCCCTCCCGACCATGTAATGCACAGAAGTGAACATGGTCCCCGCAGCTGGCATCTCTGAGCGATGTGCAAGGGCATGGCAGCAGAGAGCCTACCTGAAGCTCCCACTGGGCCGCAGGATGGTGGTGTGATGGATCTGTTAGTTTGGCAAGCTGTATCTGTCCCATGGGCTATATTTTGTCCACTCCTGGTACAGACTAATGTTTGTGTTTTGACAGCTTTGATATTACACTTTGGGGTCAGAGATTTTCTGGTCTTCTCCAATCCTTAAACTGAAATTGAAGTAGTTCTTTCTTTCTTTCTTTCTTTCTTTCTTTCTTTCTTTCTTTCTTTCTTTCTTTCTTTCTTTCTTTCTTTCTTTCTTTCTTTCTTTCTTTCTTTCTTTCTTTCTTTCTTTCTTATAAAATGGCTATTTTTATACATTACATCTGCAGTGATGCAGCACCACTTTAAGCCACATCCTTTGCATATTACTCCTGTTGATTTCAATGGGAATTCCACACATGGAACATGGTTGAATGGCTAAAGATCATTGTTATGTTCCTAGAATCTCTGATACAATGTGATCAAACATTTTTGGGCTGAATAATAATTACATAATGGAGACTGTGAGCTTTAGGCTATGTCTACATTGCAGAGCTTTTCTGGGATATCGGAGGTATCCTGGAAAAGCTATGCTGCATTCAAGGATGCGTCTGCTTTTTTGGAACAATTTCCGAAAAAGCGGACGTGTTCTGTCGGCATCCATGTATTCCTCATTGTATGAGGAATAAGGGATGTTCCGAAAAAGGAGGTTTTTCCAAAATTTGGCCCTGTGTAGACAGGCCAAATTTCGGAAAAGCCTCTTCCGAAAAAAAAGGGGAAAAATTTGCGGTTTGCAATTTGCATATTTTTTTTCTGATATTACACTGCAGTCTAAACATAGCCATAACTATCCCAAGGTGCCTGCTGGCACCACTCTTTTATATTTGGCTCCATTAGGTCTGATTCCCCAACTGCCTTGCCCCTTGTGTACACTTGTGAAAAAGGAGTACAAGGTGGATGTTAAGAATGGTAGGTAGCATACTGCACCCATCTGACTCACTTTTCATATGGTGTTAATGACTGTGGACTTAATCTCATTCCCACTGCAGTAATAGTTATAACTTGCATTGTCTTTACTGCTAGCTGACTCGGATCATACATAAGGTTCAAAACAGCATGGGATCATGCCTGGTAAGTTGAGGTGTAAGTGTACAGGAAAGGGCTCACAGTAAAATTACTTAGGTTTCATAATATAAACATTATTTCTGAACTCTGCCAGACTTTGAACAAAGCTAAATTCCTACATCTGCTCAGAGAAATTGCTTCAAGCTTTCACTAGTGGCTGCTCTGGCTGTTGTTTCATGAAAAGTAGGTTAATACATAGGAGTTATTTTAATCCATTATGAAAAATAATCTAGAATTGCTCATATTTTTTCATTTACTTTCTCATTTGTGAAGGATTGCCCCCCAGGACTGTGGCCATTGCATTTATTCAGGAGCAAACTCTTTCCTCTGTGCATAGCCTGAGTAAAAAGGCTGTATACTGCGGAGATATACAAGGACTTGGGCACAGTGGGAGGATCTCGAATCTAGTTGGCAGAGTGGCAATAATGTTCCACTATTGATTTTTACTTGCTTCATGAGTTAGAATGAATGACAAATCTGCCTCATCATGGATCCACAGGCACTATATCTGCTGCTTCCCTAGGCTGCTACCAAACTCCCATCCCACAGTGTCAGATTTCCATCATGTGCAGCTCCATGCACTATGGGAAGATGCACAGCTCTTGCCTAGGCTCCCAGAAAAAAGCCTTCTTAAACAACATTAAATGAACTGATTTCTTGTAACCAGACTCCTCTAATGGTATGTCTTAGTTTTGGCTGTAAGACAATTGTTATAACAAAAATTGGCACTAAACACTAACACAAAGGCAGGATAAGCCACATGGGGTGACAAGATTTCTTCCATGCCATTTTGCTTGTGTGTGACAATCAGAAAATGAAACTGATGGTAAATATAAGATGAAACTGACAAGTCAAGCTATGAGACTAATTTACTTTTGGTCCAGTGTCTGCCAATAATAAAAATAAAAATAATATAATTAATAATGATTTGGGGAAGTGTAATGATCCCATATATGTGGTCAAGACAAGATTGTTAGAAATCTTTTTGTGGAGAGAAAAAAGCTAGAGTGGAAGATATCCATGATGGAGCTGGAGGATGGACTCAAAGAAATGGTTGTAAAATAT